TTGTAAAAATTATATAGTTTACTGTGAATGAAAGTTTGTATTAACAACATTGGCTAATATTAAAAGGTATTATATTTAAAATTGATTCTATGAAAACCACACAGAGTGTGTAGATGTACTTGTATGTTATCATTAAAAAATTTCAGACATATTATGCGCACAGGGAGGATTATGAAATGTATAAGAATTGCAGGAAGTAAACGTCTAGTGTCTAGAGGTACCCTATATATGACATTACATAAATGAAATGAATTATAATAATATACACTTATGAATTCCAAATGATTTATTAAAAAATATAGTAATTATCATCATCATCATCTTGTGCAGCAAACATTCTATAAATATCTTTTCAGGTACACAGTAATTTGTCTATCCAATTCCAAACTAGGCCTCTTTTGCTATGGTGATCAGACTGCTGATAAATCTACTTAAATATTTTTAACAAACAATCTTTGACCCAGCATCCTATTGAAATGGACTAGAATTGTTAATGATGAGTTATGTCCAGCAATGGACTGTGATAGGCTGGTGATGATGATTAGTTATAAGACAAATAAAGTTGCTGTGAGAGAGCATGTGAGGCCTTACAGAAATCCTATTCTTTTAGTGCTTTTCACCTAGTGAGGTGATCTTTTTTTTTCTTTTTTTTTAAAGACAACTCCCGAATTAGGAATGTACATCCTGTGTCGTGGGGGACATTAGAAACGGACACAAAGAACACCCACACTCAGAATAACAATTTGTGTATCACACAAAACGTCGTCCCATGTGGGTATCGAACCCACAACACTCAGCGCAGTAGCAAGCGGCGTGGCGACCGCTTAAACTAAGACGTCATCCGTGCAGTCAAGTTGCCGTTATCGGAGAACATTTCGAGAATTCTGGGGGAGGGGGCACTTAAAGAGCCACTCTTCAGTTGCATGTGTCCAAGCGCTAGTCACTTACCGTAGTACCATTAAATAGTCCGTCCAATCGTTTTTCCTCTTACAATGAAAAAGAGAGTCAACCGATGTTCATCTTTACAACATTCTGATAATAATTATTATAGAAGTGCAACTAAACTTTACTTTCATAATGAGCCAAGCATGCCTTCAAATCTAATAAGTAACTGTTTCCAGACACTTAAAACTATAGTTTGACTTTTGTTAACTTGAATTTTTAGTTTAGTAGCTTCGCAAAGTTAAAGCAATCATTAGGAAATTTCGTTGATAGGAGGCGAAGGGTTGTCCCCTACTCAAATGCTTCACTCAGTCAGTCTCAATTGCATCTTAGTCTAGACTAGTTAATTTCAACATTTGTATGTAGCTTGTTTGTATGTATCTTGCTTGTAGTATGTAGCTACCTAATTTAAATACAAGTCTCAAGTCAAGTGTCAAGTGCTATTTACGAGACGATATTTGCATACCAGCAATGTCATAATTTTCTTGCAAATTTAAAAATCTACTTGAGGATTGGCGTAATGTGCATCATTGTTTTGGTTGGTGTATTTTACAATAAAGAATGTAACCCTCTGTAGAATATAAGAGTTTTAACATAAAAATAAAAGAATTGGTAAAATTGGATAAAAAATTATAGAGTGCTAGGGTAAGGGATAACACAAGTCTTATATAGGAAGATAAGTCCTATCCTATGGAAAGGCTAGTTGGACTAAGAAATCGACAGGCCAGATTAAAACTATATCATTATGTATTTAGTTATATCGTAATCGTTAATGGTGTTCAACAATATGTTAATGAAGAAATTTTTTGTATATAAATAAAAAAAATTGTTGTGACTTTATAGATGTTATTTTATTGTTCTTCTCTACTTCATCATGTTCAAAAATATTTTATAATTTGAAAAACCACAAAAATAGTTACACAAACCACAAAAATCTACATCCTCTATTGAATGTTTGACGAGTAATTATTACCCAAAGTCAAAACATAAAATCAATGCTCAAACAGAAATATACGCTCCGACAGATGCACACAAAATATTCTCCCAGACTACAGCTTGTGTTAAATTTTGGTACTATGTATTGATTACGCCTTAAACATACATGACCATTGGGGAGCAGGTACTGAAAGCCTAGTAATTGGCATACAGCCTGTCACGTCACAGTTCCCAGTCGAAACACGTATGACTAAATAATTGCCCATTCAAAACGTCGTACGAACAAGATTTCGCCGTGGCTGTCTCGATAAGTATTGATTACACGCAATAAAATTAAATTCAGGTGAATTTTATTACTGTAATTGAATATTGATGGGTTTTTAGGACTTTACACTCACGTATGGTGTCAAATTACGTTTGATGAAGCGTTGATTATGTGACATGCATCTTTAAGAGAACTTCAATAGTCATAGACATTATAAGTTAAGTTTAAAAAGTACCTTAGTCCACATACCTGTTATGCGAGCGGCAGTAACAACCCATCCTAAATTCTAACTAATGTTCAGCAAAGAAAAAAGAATTTTAATACATAAATAAATAAATCATCAACTTAACAACATCAACTGATGATTTATTTATTAAAATAAAATAAATTAATTAAAATAAATACCACGACTGCAGACGTACATGGGATGGGTATTTATTTTTCATCAGGTGACTTTGCTGCTGCTGTCTGCTCTTTTGCTCTCTATAACATAAAAAAAAACATTAAGATATTAAAAAAAAATGTGTTTTAAATAACGAAAGTAACTCTGCGTACCTGTAATTCTGTCTTTAACGTTCACGCGTGTTTACGCGCTAATGAAATTTTATATAAATATGGGTAATTTTGAAGACAATAATATAGGTCGTGAAATAATCAACATAAGCTTACATGATAGGAGTCTACGTAGACGAAGTCGCGGTCACCAGCTGGTGTTATATTCCAATGTAAGATTTAAATAAAGGTGACTATGGGATGAGTAAAAAAGCGAAGGGAAACATATATTATTAAACGGTAAAATTTCAATTGTTTTCAATACACTGATGAGGCAATATACTCGTAATTCAAGCTCCGTACTTGTTTTATTAACTTAACTTCGTTCTTACAAACTTGATAAAATGTGAACATATTTGTGCTTTTATTAAGAGCTGCCCGTCTAACGATTTTACGTACGTAGCGTTAATTTATGTACTGAAGCCCTTTTTTGGTAAAAGAGTCCAACAATATATCTCATATGATTCAGTGCTAAACTTAGTTTTAATTTTCTTTGTTGTAGTTTGTTAAGAACTTTTAATAGGTTTATAACATAAAATGTTTTTGTCTGCTGCGGGCCTTCTAAGCAGCATCTTCAGTTTTCTCCAAATAAAACAGCTTCCAGATCCAGTTCCAAAAGAATGAAATCTTTTTAAAAATCTGATATACTAGATTACTGTACTGTAGGGCGTGGTGACGGATTAAGAATACAGAGGGTCGACTAAGCCGACTAAGGGAGCAAACCACATATGACAACAGCACTGCAAAGAGAAGGAAAACTTACAACAAACCGTATACCAACCCTTCAACAGACAGCGTGGTATAGTAGGCCCAAACCATTTTTCTAAGTAGAGGCCTATGTCCTGTGGGTTATTAAAGGCTGTTGATGATGATGACTAGATTACTAATCCACTTGGATTACCTACATTAGAAGATAGTTTTTGTTCTTCACCTATTAAATAAATAATAATAATTAAAAAATATTTATGCCGAATCAGCAAGCTGAAGTGGCAGTGGGCTGGCCATATTAGCCGCAGAACCGACAACCGTTGGGGTAAACGAGTTCTTGAGTGGAGACCGCGTCACGGCAAACGCTGTGTAAGACGCCCACAGGCCAGGCTGAGTGACGGTTTACGTAGGATGGCTGCCAGGTGCTGGATGCGAGAAGTCAAAAACCGATCGAAGTGGCGTGCAATGGGAGTGTCCTTTATCCAGCAGTGGACTGCGATAGGCTGATGATGATGATATAGTTTGTAATATACTCGCCGAACTCACACCATTAATCGATTGAATCTATTACTCTCACATAAATTGGACGATAACTAACAAAGGTTACATTTGTAATAGACGGGGATCCATTCCCTTTCAACTATATGTGGGAATCTTACTTGAAGTAATTACGCCCCGTTTAATAATTCCACGTTTCTCTAACAGTTTCCAGGCATATCATTGAAATCTTCGAAATACTGTATTCTGTAAACAGAAACAGGTCGTAAAATTTAACTAAGGTTTTGCTCGTTAGTTGAATATTGATGCTCTTTATGGTTTTGTTGTTACAAAATGTATTATGCAAACCTATAAACTTGAGTATCTTGTTACAAAATTAATTGAGTAATCCTTATTTATTACTACTCCTTACTTATATTATCTGTTAGAGTGGAGTCTGCGTGTAGCGCAGGGCGTCCTCTGGTCTGACGACTTAAGGAAAGTGGCTGACGGCAGATGGATGTGGACTGCATAAGACCGGGATTGTTGGCACTCCTTGGGGGAAGTTTTCGTTCAGCAGTGAAAGACGATAGGCTAATGGTGAGGTGATGATTATGACTTTTTATAAATTCAAAAATGAATTTATTTGTAACGCTTTAACTCCTAAATAAATTATTGTGAAGTTATACATACATATAGTCCAAGATACATATAGATAGATAGATACATATGTAACAGCAATAGTCCCTTCTAGTCTGTTTGAAATCGGTGCCAAGCCAAATAGGTGCTTGATAGGCTTGGTAGAACGTGGCGCGGCAGCTGCAACAGTCTTCATGCTGCGCAAAACATGGTGAACGAGCTAAAGTGGGTTACGCATATCTCCAATGATATTTTTATTTTAAATGCTTTATTGAGTAGTTTCTATTTAAATGTTTTATTAAGGTACTTTTGTGATAAGACATTTTAATCCTTAAAAAAAGTTAGTTAGTTAATCGACTATCCCTAAAATACACATTTTGGTAAAAGTTAGTAGTAGGGTAGTTTAACTTTATTCATAAATAATATTATTCTAAATTTCAATATAGACGATGTTGTTTTTAAGAAGGTGAATAGGAACAAAATGAGTGTACATGATCAGAAGCACGTGTTAAGTCTTTTTCTCACTGGAAGGTAACTTATTAGTTATTGTGTACGCTTATGTTTGTTTGTATTTAATAAAAAAATTGTTTTCGAAAGAGAGTCAGTCGATTTCTTTGTACTTAATTTATGAAACCGAGAAATGACTCTATTTTCAGCCTTGAACTTGTTGTGTCTATATTTCAGTTTAACACCAAATAGTTGTTCTTTTACTGTTGAATTTGTGGAGGAACGGATGGCATGTCCCGTCAAGTTATGTCTCTCCAACGCAAAGGGAGGATCCTTCGACCAGGCGGGGTGATCATGCCTGGCGGGCCGCGGCCCAACGATTGATGTTAGGAAGTTTTATATATGCTAACCGGCGAGAAAATTCTTCATATCGCGATACAGATTTAGCAATTCTCATTCAGGAGTTACTCCGTAGTTCGGTGTGGCTTCATTAGAGGGCGCTGTAGTATGTTTCTGTTTCTTTGTATGTGGGAGTCGCCACAAATTCATTGTTTGCAAGTATTGTAGTTTGTCAACTGTATAACGTTAAGAAAAGTAGTCTGTGCTCATTAAATGGTAAGCAAGAATGAAGCACCGTTTTATAAGCATTTTACGGTTCTTTAACACTTAGTCAAAAGTGTTTTTATTTTTTATTTTGACGACATAATAATTATAATAGACACTGAGTCCATGAAAGGTTTAGAGATTATTATATATACTATTTTAGATTTATTGAAGAATTACAAAACTCGACTTTAAATTTTAAAAAAATTGTGATTTTGTAAGTGTTTTAAAATTTATTTATTTGAAATAATTTTAGGACTTATTAGAAATATTCGAGTATCTCACGCATACTCCACAGCAACTTTTAGATTTATAGGGTATATAAAATTGTACACTAAAAAGGTTTGGATATTTTGGAATAGTTACCTTTGCTTAATCTATACTAATATTATAAAGCTGAAGAGTTTGTTTGTTTGTTTGTTTGTTTGAACGCGCTAATCTCAGGAACCACTGGTCCGATTTGAAAAATTCTTTCAGTGTTAGATAGCCCATTTATCGAGGAAGGCTATAGGCTACATATCATCACGCTAAGATTAATAGGAGCGGAGCACCAATGAAGAACGTTTCAAAAACGGAGAAAATTTATTACTATTGAGAGACGCAGACGAAGTTGCGCGGGTCAGCTAGTGATTATATAATGTTCAAAAAATGTCTACATTCCTAACGAAGATTGCTATAAATTTCACCAAAGTAAACTAGTGGATATCGACGTCAATATTCATATCAATTAAGGCTCTCTTCACTGAGCGTTTCAAACACGATCTGAATTGCAAATACATATTTTTTCTGCTCGTTCCAATGTACGTCTAAATGGATCTAATTGGAAATTCAGCACCTTCTAACTCGTTCAACTTTAGCCCTCGAGTTGGACCTTTTGAAATGCTGTTTGTAAACCTAGCAGTATTAATCTATGGCAATTCTGCGTCTATTTTTTCTATTTCTTATGGAAGGTGATCTCTTAAGTGTATTTTTTTCTATCGATGAAGTCTGTGGACGTAGAGATCTAACTTTAATTGAAGTGGAAGTAGTAAATTGCACTTTGTAATATAGTTAAACCAAGAACCAGGCTTGATAAAATATTTAAAAGCGACTCTTATTACTTTTATTATTATGTAGGCACTAATAAAGAATCTTATTACATACTACTTATTTATTTATTTAAATCTAAGGATCTCCAACAAAGGCTATACACAATTTTAATTAAATTATAATAACCTTGTTTTGACAGTTTTCTTGTCTTGTTCGCAGGTATCAATTTCTACTGCTAGTACTTCTGACTTCACAATGCTCGGCTAATGAAGGACTATTCGGATCGAAATTTCAAACTGGTGAGTATTAAAAAAATGTTCTTTAAAAATATTTTTTTAATCCAAAACTAAGTTTTACCTTAAATCCCTTGTAACTTTTTGAAATCATATCAGTTGTGGCACTATGTGATCCCTTTAAAATAGAGATGAGAGTAGAATAGAAACAAAACATAAAACCAAAATCGTGTAATATTTATGTTACAAATATATATTTTAATATTTATAGAAAGATTTATACCTTTCAAAAAAGTATAACAAATTGTACCATTTTATTTATCTAGAAAAGAGTCTATCATTCCATTTTGTAATAACAGAGAAACAAGCAAAACTTACATACATAAATATTTACATGCATAGGGCATGTACTGTACTGTACTGACTTAGATAGTCTGGGATAATAAGACCAAGAAACCACAGCAATAAGAATTAGAGAAGATACTAACTGTTGAGAGAAAAACACGTTTGAAGTGTCTCTGTTCCTTTTAGCGAAATACAATAACACCTTGTCCTAGACCTGGTTATCTTTTTAAGAAAAACAGGTATATTTATCGGAATCTGAGTAAAAGCTAGCCTGAACAACTGTTTGGCATTTTAAATATTTATAAAGTACCGATGTGGACGGAATTCAGTATTTTCCTGTAACTCAGCCTTAAGTTTGAAGAGTCTAGTTACAATATCAAATTATAAATTACAGCTAAATAATACATTATTGGTATGTTTAGGAGAACTTAAAATTTCAAGGTGAGCGAAAACCGCAGGCAATGTTAGGCAACGGCCCACAGTTCCTAAACAACAAGATGATACTATTTACTTAGGTTCTAATGTACTGGATTGAAACATCTAGGTTAACATGAAAAGTTTGACCGAATCTTCAAACTTTAACAACTAAACCAATCGTGTTATTATAATAAGATAAGTATTTGGGAGTCGCTAAAGTTATTTCCATATTACTAAAGCTGTGGATATGATCATTTTGCTTCTGTGTGAAATGCTTTTAGTATATTTTTATCTAGTGTCAATTTGTTTTAACTATTAGTATCTATAAGGTTTCTGTTTTGTTTCTAATACGCGTTAACACAGTAGGTTCCTGGTTGTAAAAGCCGTAAATAGAACATAGAAGTAATAAAACATTTATGACTGACCTTTACTTACGGGTACTTGTATGGGGTTTCTATACAGACTACATATTTGCAAGAAGTTCTAGCATGACTGAGTAACACACATTTATGGATTTTAAAGAAATTTAATTATTTCAATATTCTTTACATTAAAGTATCTCTTTCCTTAAAGGAGACCCCCATTTCATGGTTTCACTTTTAGATGTTCGCTGAATCTCTTATAGAACTTGGGTCTGAAATTAAATCTTACAAAGACTGAAACTTGAATCAATGACCATTTTTATTTTAAATAAAATTTTAAATTAAATAGTGCCATTATATAAAATAAACCATTAATGGTTGAATGCAAATAAAGATCGGCGTTAAAATAAAATGATTAAATAAAAAAAAAATATGCGTGATAATACTCGTACTTCATAATGTCACATTAAAATGTATTGCAGTTTAGTAATCTTATTATTTCGTGTATGTAGTCGTCGTTTACTAAGTCAATGTATACTTCACACTGAAGTTTATACACGTTATCTTTGTCAAAAAACTCAAACGTCAGTGTCACAGTATTTTCATGTTGTTAATATTTTCACATTTATTTTCTCAATAACAAGTTCTGTTACAATATACGTTAATATTTCAGGTATTACTCAATGCGGGCTTAATAATGTGAAAGTGTTAAACTGATTTTCACACTGAAATGGGCATTCTCCTTAATCATTAAGTGTCTGGGTTGAATACATCGCTGTTTAAACATAATGTTGCTCTTTATAAAATGAATTATTTGAACAAGTAAGAAAACACGTAGGTACAATAAAAAGTCATATTATTGCTGATAATCGTGAAAATTGTCTATCGTATCTAAGTGGCATGGAATGGGAGAGACCTATGTCTAGCAGTGGACCACGATAGGCTGATGATGATGATATTTTTGTACTATATTTAAAAAAAAAACATCAGGTTACCTGCTAAAGGTAATGGGAAGTTTCGGCTTTCCATCTCCTTTAAATATAGAACTCTGGTATCATACATAGCAGACACACCCACAAGTACAGTAGCTACCGCTATCCTAACTATAAACTCCCAACTAAATAGTACATAAAACAGGCTCAAAATTACTTGCCAATGATAAATCTTCCCGGCAATTTAGAACGTTCATCCCTATTCCAAGAACCGCAATCGTTTTAACTACATCATTTATCGTACAAAGCGGAGAAAATCGTTGAGCGTTAATTGTCTCCATCGCAAAACAATTCGTAGGAAAAGTACCTTCGTTCGTGGAATATGGTGTACTTAATTTTATGGTCTAGTGTAGATGTGCATTGGGCAATGGTTGGAGTATGTCATTCGAATGTGGTTTATGATAAAGGTTACGTGAGAATGAATAAAGCTCTTCTGAACTGAAGAGACCGCAATCGCGGATTAATGAATATATTTATTTCTACAAATTTGCTTACCACAGATCACACAAGTACAATAGATAGAAACGATAGATAGATAGATAATATTATAAATGAATAGAAGAACCATGTATATCTCTGATGGTTTGATTTCTAAAAAGAATTAAAAAAAACTTTTAAGTTCAAATGCAATGAGAGTAGTATCGTAGTAACTTAAAAACATATTATACGTACATTTATTTGCAAATCATAAAGATTGTAGTATAGCTCTGTTTATAGACATCAGCTCTTACATGGAATATAATGTAAATTCTCGATAAAATAAGGATACAGAACCACTACAATCTATCGGTGAGCCAGATCCGTCTAGATATTTCATCTAATTTGTATTTTAAAATTTCATGCGATACTGACAAACTTTCGTACACGTCTTTTAATTTATAATTAGATATAAGTCGCATATCCCTTAGATGATGTTTCTTATATTCGGGGTATAAAATAAATGTAGAGTTCATTTTGTTTCTTATTATACCAACTATTTATTAAGATTAAAACTGTTTAGTTTGGTATTTGTTCCAATCATGTTTATAATTATTAAAAAAATATATTTAAAACTGCCGTAACTTTGTGAGGGCACATGATGATGTAAGGAAGCAGGTTCGTAACCGAGGAAATACATATATTATTAATGCGATGAGAAAATTCCAAAAACTTTGCTAGAATATCTTAGATTAATTAAATAATCTAAGGCAATAATAATAATAAATAATCTAAGATATGTATATTTATTATAAAGTACGCGCGTAGAGTATTTGTTGGTTTGTGAGTCATTCATTGTACCGCTTTGACAGTTACGAGAACCACGTTGGCTTGTTTTCGAGAGACTACTTATTTAGTTTTAGGTGGAGTCAGTGATTATTTCTACTTGTACTCCAGTTGCAATTTTTTTAAATATTTTCGTTAAGGCACGAGTAAGGTTCTTAAGAAGAGAAAAAACGTAGGTTTCAAAAGGAAAGCCGTAGGGTCGGTTCTCATAGTGATGTTAAAATTTTGAAAAGCTAAGTTTTCATAACATATTTGTTGAAACAAATGAAGTCCACAGACCGTATAAATCTGATTTTAGGTTCTGTTTTGCAGAAGTTTCAGAGACTAAGTCACTGTCCGATCTGTCATTCCTTTAACTGCAGGTAGTGGTTTCGACAGGAAGTGAAAATATGTTCTCAGTGTAGTTGCTTTTCAATCGGAACGTTTGTATTACGATAACGTTTCCATTCTCGGTAAATCATGCTCTCATGGCTAGTAACATTTGTTTGAACCGTTTTCGTTCCCAAGAAATATTGTGCACATCGTATGACTTAAAATACACCTTAAAACCTACTTCAAGAAAGTTTAGATTTCTTTGTTCAAAACCTTGAGTTACGTTGGAAGTTAGTGAATGAGATCTCATATTATTATCGCTACTGGACTGAGAAAGATTAGTTACGACATTTTGCGAGGAAAATGACCAGAGCTATGGCCTATATAAACATTTTTTAAATCTAAGAAACCATAGTTAAACTAGATGATGTGAGCAAACTAAATATTTAAGATCTTGTAAGAGAGGTCATTTAAGAGTACTTAACTCATACTCACTTCAACAAGTTTCTAAAAAACTTAAGAAGTCCTGTGAAGATTAGTTAAGATTTTATGAAAAGTAATCATAAATTAGTTCCTTGAAATTAACATACTGTTACAAAATTTTCATCTAAGTTAAACCGGATCCGGTAAATCAATTCACAAAGATTTGTTTTATTCAATAAAAAAATATGAACACAAATAAACAGAAAATCAGTTTGATAAATAAGGTTAAGGGCTACAGTACTGGCTGATCAGCTTGTGTCACAATTTGTAACCAATTTGTTATTCAAGCCATGTATACAGTATTTTTAGTATTGTGCAATCGTGATGTTTAAACCACATTACAAAAGATTTATTATGTTAAAATTTTAGTTTGAAATAATATAGTTGGATAGATTTAGTTAGTATAGCTAAGAAATTTGTCACACATAGGTATTAAACCTATGTGTGACAAATTTCTTACAAAGACACCCCAGGGATGAATAGGGGTGGTGACCCTCCGTATTCTTAATCCGGAAAACTAGCTAGAATAGATAAAAACGTACTTACCTAACAAGTCTTTAACTTGATTGATACATGTATCAAAGTATTACCTCGAAAAATTGTGACTTGAAAAATTGAGTATTGAAGTGCATACAGATTCCTTGATGCGTAAGATTGACTGCGCTAGTTTTTATTAAATGCTGGTAGAATAACGTTTACGACCGCAAAGGTTCGCATTAATACAATCCAGCCTTAGCGTCTACTTACCAACTTGTATTTACTGAACGCTGGTAAAATTAAAAAGAGTAATGGATTTTTGTTTTACAGCAAAAGGATCTGAGTAGTTTTATTTCTTGTACGTTCAGCAATATTTCATTTCTTATTTGTTAAATTGTACATCAACCAAAACGGACAAAGATATTGGATTACAAAACCGTAATTTTTGCATGTTTATATTTTATCAATGCATGTGTTAAAAGTCAGTAAATTTTAGTAAGTAAAAAGTGTGTACGTGTGGATTGAGGAGCCATTTTAGAATTTAAACGAATTATAAACGGAAACTGCCCCCTCATTTAGTAGGTGAGACAATAATTTTGTAGGACAGATCCTGAACTTTGTAGTAAGATATATCCAAAGTTACGTCAATGTAAAAGTGGCTCCTCAATCTTAACATTTGAATTGAGGAGACACCTGGAACACAGAAAGTATTTAATGAATATTTTTGAAAACTTTGTATTATTTAGTAGTAATTGTGTATAGTGCCTACTAAAAATCTGAATCCGAGTACTATTGATATTCAAGAATAGACAACACTTTTAATGTGGCTCCTCAATCTATATTTATGAGTGGGAATTGCCATGAAAGTAAAAAGTCAAAATTTATATTCTATTCCAAAAACATTTAGTAGCAAGTGGGTTTGAATTTGTAGTAACATCAGAAAGTAGTAAAACTGAGTGAATTTTGTAAATAAACGCATTTTATTTGGCTCCTCAATCCTGACGTTAGAAATAAAAACTACAGACACTAACATTTAGTATAAATGTCTACTAAATAAATATGTACAGATCAACGTTGTATATATTCGGTATCTGAAAAATAAATTACTTTTTGATATTCCTTGTAAATACGCCATTTAGGGTGACCATGTTAAATGAAATAAGGAGGATAAGCTTTTAAAATGTAATTTTTAACAAATCGACAATATCGAAATACAATTAATCAGGTTGAACATAAGTGATACAATGAATTAATATTGGTTGCTCCGAGCTTTGACGAATTTTACAGTCAGAATCATAGTCGTCATAGCAAAACATCTCATCCTTCGTTGGGTAGTGACACTTATAGTGTCCCATGCCAGCGTCGCTAATTGCAGGGATATATTCTGTAACACCTATTAATATGTATGATCTACCTGAAATCATTATAGATTCTGGTATCTCGCTTACTCGAAACTTCGTACAAAGATTTATTCCAAATGAAATTGTATTTGATAGCGTATATTTGCGCACTGTTTAGAGGTCACAAAATGTACAAACATTTTTTTCTTCTGCAATACAAATTGCATCTTCTAAACTTTGGATCCCGAAAACAGAAATTATATTCAGGTTTAAAGGTAAAAATGCGATCTGTTTATGATGCGATTGGGCTAAATTGGCATGAATTATTAGTGAAACAAATATAAAAAATTGTTGTTAAAAAAGTGTTGATTCGGACAAGTACCTAAAAAATATTTGTTGCCGAAACGTCAGTAAGCTAATATGTGCAAACAAGTCAATTTCACCGTTAATGAATATCTATTTTCTAAAAAAAAAAATGATTGAGAGTAGATAGGTAACGAAATTAATTTAGAATGACCCCATGCAATAATTAAATAAAATGAAATAGATTTGTTTTTACGAAACAAAAAATACCTTTTATATAAGTTATTCATGGACACCCTACAAAAAAAAATGTTAGGAAATTAAAGAATAGCTACTTCGTAGATACTGTACTTTTTTATGACAGGATACGAACATTTAGTATAAATTTATACTAAATTCAGTAGTATGTTCCAAATTTCCTCACAAGTATATTTAAGTCAAATCTATTTACCGAAGCATCTTAACTGAGGAGCCAGTTAAAATGTGCCATATCTCCTAATTCACTCATTTTTTATTACTGATTTTTACACTACAAATTTAACATACTTACTAATAAATGATGAAGAAATTGCGCATCAATTGAAAAACTGTTTCTTTTAAAAAATGACAGTCGTATGTATGGTCTGAGGAGCCACATATATAATGTATGGTAACTTTTTTAATTTTAACATTACCGAGCTCAGATTTTGTCTACTAACTAATGTCAAATACTACAAAATCATACTAAATTATCATAAATATACATCCGCTATGTTCCTAGTTCTGACGTGGCTCCTCAATCCAAACATTTAGATTGAGGAGCCACCTTTGTGTTCACATAACTTGAAAAGTATTATACTACAAAATCATTCATCATTAATTTCATTACGATTTGAAGATTGGCTCCTCAATCCAAACGGACGTAAAAGTTTTTATGCCGTTGTCATGCAATACGTATTATTGTTTTTTTACGAACAGTCCAGTACGTTTGACACTGGCTTTTGAAAATCCACTGGCGAGTGAAAATGTGTATGCACGTTTTGATTGTTAAAAAAAATGCAAACGCTTTGAGTGCTTTTCAAATAAAGAACACTTTTTTGCGCGTTTTAAACCAATAATTCTGTTCGTTCATAGATACCATCAAAATTTTTATAAAGTTCTTATTAACTATATCAATATTATTAAACATCAATTTGGTACATTTCAGTCCTTGTTTCTACTTTTTAGTGGATGTAATTGTGTAAGACTGAAATGAAGTATGTTAGTTAAGGCGGCATTATATAAATATATATATGAAGTTAGAAATTGTATTTTTATTATAGCAATTTGTGAGAATCGATCTTTTTTAGAATCTATTTTCACGACTGAATATTTCTTTTAATTCTTTTTTTTTAAGAAATATATTTATATCCTATGTCGCGGGGGACTTCTCCCCCTTCCTAACTCAAACGGTCACCTCGCCGCTTTCTACTGCGCTGAGTGTTGTGGGTTCGATCCTCATACGGGACAACACTTTGTGTGATCTACAAATTCTTCTTCCGAGTCTGGGTGTTTTTTATGTCCGGCATCATGTATAATTGTAAATTCCCCTGGGACACAGGATATATTCCTAGTGCGGGAGTTGTCTTTTAAAAAAAGAAAAAAAGAAACAATATTCTAATCTCAGAGAACAGCATAGAGAACTAGATAGTCAATTTTTCAATTACGATTCTGCTCTCATTTAATTACACAGATAATTTAATCATATTTATCGGGTTGAACGCGATCCGACACTGGGTTAGTGTGCAACTTTAATAGTCAATGGTTAGACCCCTCCACCTATCATGACAAAGCTTACCTAGATAAATTAAATTTAGGTAATATTTGTCAAAATCTCAAAAAGTCGCATAGCCTAAAAACCGCTGGGGAACAAACTAGGATTATTATGCATTTTACTCCTAAGGAGATAAAATAAGGGATAGTTGTATGGAAGTAATAATAATAATATTTTACCACGTGCACACAACGCCATCTAGTCCCAAACTAAGCAGAGCTTGTACTATGGCTACTAGACAACTGATATAAATTTATACTTTTTTTGTAAATTCATATACACCCAGACCAAATCAAACATTACATGTTCATGCACACAAATGTTTGACTTGAGCGGGAATCGAACAAGCGATGTCATTCTATTGTTACATAAGTTTATCATTATCAAATTATTATCATCAAATGTGAAATAATTACGCCAGTGAAGCCGTCAGCCGGTAGTCAACAAATAAGTAATAATAATAATTTATACCTCACACATCTCACACGCGGCCATCTGATCCCAAACTAGGCAGAGCCTTTACTATGATATACAGACTGCTGATAAACATACTTATATATTTGTAAACAGATACATATTATAGATAAATTATGCCCAGACACAGAACTAATGACCGTGCTCATCACACAATAGTTGTCATGGGTGGGAATCGAACCCACCCAGCTTAGCAGTCAGGTTCCTTAACCACTAGACCAATAGGCCCTTCAAAAACACACTTAAACTATGTTATCTTTTTTTTCAGAAATACGGGAATACGATTTGCTACACGCCATCGGAGTGCCGTTCAGCAATCCGAAAACACAATACTTCGACGAAGGCCTCGATGGCTTTCCGGCATATGGCCTTATGGCAGGATCCGACATAAAATCTCCATACCGACTGTTTATGCCTGAGAAACTGTACGCTGAATTCTCTATAACGGCTACAGTAAGACCAGCGAACAAAGAAGGTGGATTCCTCTTTTCTGTCGTCAATCCTCTAGAGACTGTGGTACAATTAGGACTACAGCTAATACCTTCTGGACCGGGATTAACTAACATCTCTTTACTGTACACGGATGCTAACATATATGCTCTATCGCAAACAATAGCATCCTTTGTCGTGCCGTCTTTTGCAAAGAAATGGAGCAGGTTTGCCCTCAAAGTTACAACAGAAAATGTAACCCTGTTCCTAAATTGCCATGAGTTTGATACAGTCGTTGTAAGAAGAAACCCATTAGAATTAGTCTTCGATTCCGCATCGACGTTGTATGTTGGGCAAGCTGGACCATTGATTAGAGGCGCTTTTCACGTGAGTACTGCTATAAAATTATCTTTATTTAACTAAGGTGGCTTTCAAGTTCTTTTGATTGTATTAAAGTATCTACGTAATTTAGAAGTGATATTAATTACTCATGTTATTTCACCTTTGGCGGGGAAAATACATTTTTTTAAAATTTCGAACTTGTTCATTTAATCATCTCATTATCACTGCTAAACGTAATATTTCATGACAACCGATACTTTTAAACTATCATAAGTATAAGTTAGTAATGCAATAAAATTCGTAACCTGAAAGACAGTCTTTTGAATATGTGAATTTAAAATTTCATTAAAATATAACGTTAACGTTTTTATATTTCTGACTTAGTGATTATATGTACAATCTACAAATGTAAACAAATATTTGTCTGTATTGTATATCTGACAACTTATTGACCATTTTTCGCTTTTTTAAATAAACGTTTATTAAAAATTAATAGTTCGAGTGAATACTAAACTTAACGAAAAAATACAAAGCTTTAAATAAAGAATAACATAATTGTAAGAACCGTTGTTAAAAAAAATCTCTAGCTTTCCAATGCTCGATATAATGGATTCCTCATCTAGTAATATCGACACAAACTTTTCTATTAAATTCCAGTTACACAAAGTTAGAAACTTTCTAAACCTAAAGTCCTGCACCGACTTGTTTATGTAATTATCGATGTTATAAGTAGGAAACACTGATTCAAGTTTCCAGAGTCTTTAAAGTAAAAGTTTATAATCCGTTCTTAAAGAAATTACTTATTTCTGTAACTTTTTATTTACGACTGGTAAGCTAATCTTTTAGAAGGGAAAACATTGAGGGTATTAGGTACTTATCGCATAGCATTGGTCGTAAAAGTTGACTGAGGAAGAGGATTACTGTCATGGTAGATAGGATGGACAGGGGACCTTTCACTTACTAATATACTGCAAGCTTTGTCATCGTTTACGTTTTCATGTTTATAGAGAATAAGTTTATAAAACGCATGTTTTCTATGGCATTAATGTTCATCATTATGCTATTAATATGTCGATTTTGCGATGGTTTTGTAAAAGTCAATTTAGACTTAATAATGGGTAGAACCTCTACTAGTGATGAAATAAAAACTAGACATATATTGTATTTTAATCATAGCCAACTGACTTTTCAACATACACCTACAACATCTTTTCATGTAAAAACAAATTTAATTATATTTGTAGGAGCCAGTAGCGTTTACAGAAAACTAAACTACTAATAACTAGTATTAAACTTCTAGTCACCAATACCATATTGTGTAGTATGAACTTCTTTTTTGTCCCTTTTTTTAAATTAAAAGAACCATTAGGTCTCTATTCTCAATTCTCTACTCAATATTAAATATGCCAAGAACAATATTGTGGCTCGGTTAGGTATGGTAACCAAATATAAAGTGATTTCAAAAAGTTTGTAAAATTTTAGATTCTTTAGTACATAAGTACATTATAAAACTCCTTGAGGGTAAAAGAACAAAGACTTCATACTTTGATTCAAGCATTGATATCAAGCAATCATAAAACATTTAAAACCACTTTAATTTACGATAATGTAGACACAATTAACCATTTTGCTGCAATTGGAAGTGTTCAACTCACAAAAGGAGAGACAATTTCTTGCCAACAATACGGGCCCTAAATAATTGCGAACAAACAAGTTGGAAATAACAACACCGACTGTCATCATTCTTTGCGTACAACAGACATTTATGTAGATATATATTTATATCGGTTTTTGTGCAGATGTCGATGAACATATGCATTATAATGATGTGTATGTAATAATTTTATCTTGAAGAAAATGTAACACTTACAGTATTTTACTTACCAAGATATGAATGATGGGCCACCGAAAGTAATCAATACAAGGTATATTTAATTTACTATAGATGAACAATACATATGGCCATATAGTAGGCCAAAACCTCCTTTCTAGTACGGAGAGGTCTATGTCCAGAAGTGAACTATTAAAGGCTGTTGATATGATAATGTGTGATGTGAATATATATATATGGTGCGATACAAGGAAAAAAATCAATTAGCTTATGAAAAGTAATGATTTGTAAAGAAAATTAATTTGATGTGAGACTATTGAAAATTGCATTATAAATAAATAATTAAAAATTGAAGAATGTGAGTTATTATAATTTATCATAATTTAGGTAGGTACCGCAGAATCAATAAACCTTTTTTGCTCTTGCAACTGCCTCGTCGATGCGATTTGATTATTGTGAGGGGATCATTTGCATAACAAAACCGTAATATATTTCTAAATTATTAGGGGTTAAAGTATGGATAACCTGATTGCGACTATAGTGCGGAGCGACAGTGCGTGGAACTCTGCCGTCTCCTGCCTGCCTCCGTGAGCAAGTTATGCTTGCGAAGGAGATGGCGGAGCGGGACCAGGAGAGGCCCGCCAGGCTAAGGAACGGGCCAGGTACCGTAGACAACTCAGGCGCCGGCAGAGCAACTTCCGTCCTCCATAAGCCTGAAGGTGACAGGTGAGGCCATCTGTCACCCTAGCAGAAGCAGGTCAATGTGGCAGCGAGCGTGCTGCGAGGCGCGCGCGCCCTTCCGGGACCACAGAGGGAACATGGGGGTTCCCACACAGGGGGAGTCGTCTACCAGCCGAAGATGGCCCGAGGTACGTCGGGGCACCAGGGATTTCCTTTCTAGGGTACACCTGGTTCCCCGACTATTGGTACCTGAGTCGGCGTGCGGTTTTAGACTGGGAAGAAAATTTTTATCGAGCAGAAAATTGACCAAATCACGAAAAAAAATTTTTATCCGTTTGAGCAAGGTCTGGCGAGTAAGGTGGATGATGTATGGTTTTGAACTGCAGCTTCTGTAGAGTTACAACGGCTTCTCGTGCAGTGTGAGGTCTTGAGTTATCATGGAGCAATAATAGTGAAGATCGATTTACGAGTCGGGGCTGTTTCACTGGCAGTTTGAAGAGACCATCAAACAGTTACCACTACCTTTTTATGTGTAAGCTTTGCTTTAGGGTACTTTTGCGGCTTTTGATCTGGGTCAGCATTTGTATTTTTCGCTTACGGTTATCGTAAAAAGAAACTATTTTTCATCATATGTCATAATTCGATCAAATATTCCTTCATTTCTGTACCGATTCAACAAGGCAACACAAGTTTCAACAAACATTTCTTTCTGCAGACAGTCAAATCATTCACCCAATTTTTCATATTTTGTGCGTTCATTAGCAGCCTCCTCTCCAAACGCAGCGTTTATATTGCGAACCGTTTATGCCGCGTTATTTTCGAAGTATTCATCTTTCACGTCTAAGCTGAATAAAAAAAATTGAAATTAGAAATCTAACGTTGCACAGTTTTTTAAATATGAAAAAAGAAAGTTAAAAGTTTCACACGAAGTTCTCACACCATGAAGGTTTTATGTCAATTCAAAGTACCTATTATAGTACCAGTACCTATTCAAAGTACCAACGACAATTTCATACTTTGACCACTTTTTTTTTTTTTTTTTTTTTCCGTGCGGAAATCCCCTCGGATACCACCTGTCGGTGGCATGTCGGCCTCGAACCGACTAAAACCGCACGCCTTCGCCGGGTACTAATAGCCGGGGAACCAGGTATACCCTAGAAAGGAAGTCCCTGGTGCCCCGACATACCTCGGGTCATCTACAGACGAGTAGACGACCCCCCCCCCCCCCCCGTGGTACTTTGACCCCTATTATTTTCACATACAAGAAACTTATACATGAAATTACGTCTCTTCCGTTCCGCAGTAACCCTTGTATATTGTCGACCCCACCGTTTAAACCTTAGCTTTCACAACACATTATTAATGAGCAGGAAATATTACCTACTACTAGAGGTAGTGCTCAAATAAAGGGTTTTAGATTTACAGAAAGGTCTGTAGAATAAAAGTCGTATATCATCTGCCCAAGACGTTATCATTCAAAAGTTATCATATGCTAGAGAGGCTTTTATTATGGGATAAACAAAAATTTTACTTACCTAGAGAACAACAAACGTAATCCCAAATAGAAGTCTACCGTAAACAGCTTAACCCTACAATGAAAATTGTTAGAAGGGATGTACATGCGTCGCAATTTTGTCGCATGCATCCGTAAACAAAGCCGCTTTAGGAGACAGATAAACAGAATTCTGGCGCTAAGGTTTGAGTTAACAATGCAGCGACATACGTTTATGTTGTTTGAAAAATAAACTTATGAATATTGTGTTTGTCTTTAAAGTTGAGCGCAAATTTAGATTGAATTTTTGTAGTTATGTTTAGAAAGTTGAGAACTGTTTTAATGTAGCATTAAGCGTATCGAAGTAACACTCATTTTGTGCAATATATTTGGAAAAGGTGTTTTAAATAAGCATTTAAGGTTGTTTCCATTGTAAAGCGAGAGTTTAATAAGAAAGATTTAAATGATCAATTAATAGTCTTTGTTAGTCGCGTTTTTTGCTATTGATTAAATGAACCCTGACAACTTACAGCGTAGATGTTACTATTGCCGAACATTGATCTGACATTAACATGCAAGCCTAACCTAAACTAATTGATAAACTCATATAATTATTAAAGCACTCTAGAATTGTCTCGAGGTATATCGTACGACTGCCTCAAATTATTATTAATTTATTAACAGAATGGAACTTCTAATTACCACGTAAACTTAGACTCCGAATAATAGTATTGTGTCCATTTGACGATTTTGGTTATTGTGTAATTGGCCAATGATCGTTGAAACTACAAAACCTACAGTTTAATTTGGACTCTAAGTGAAGGTATAGGTCTAAGAGTATCTCTGTTGGTTTGTTTAATACGTCATAGTACGTTAATTAGATAAATTCATTTCAAATCCCTCCCTTCTGTACCATACAAGCGATCTAGCAATAGATATTGTCCTGTCCTGTCCTCCACGACCTCTGTCTTAGTAGCCAAGATCTTTAATGATTAAACCAATTAGCCGGTCCTTCAAAGTTATCTTACCAAGGTTATTCAAAAAGTCTACCTCTTTACTTAAGGAGGGTCTTGTGTA